TATATCGAGATTAACGTGGGCCTTTGCTGGTGAGGCCCGAATGAGAACTGAGAGGTCCATAATCGTCTCCTCTCAGATTTAGTGCATACAGGGCGGATAAAATATTGCGCAGTGCCGGGCCATCAACCGCGCAGTGCGATGTATCTAAATGGACGGACTTTAGGACTTTCAACCTCGTGTGACCGCAAAGTAGGGGACTCGAAGGCATATGACATGAAGTTCTTTGATGTTTGATAGATCCGTGGATTATCAATGGCACTTGGCTTTTTGATGGATTAGAGGATTATCAATAGCTTTAACGTCAAGGCCGTCCTTCTTGTATCCTTGGGCAATATTTCATCTTCGCGATGGCAGAGGTTCGATTTGGTTGAAGTTGGTACTTTGATAATGGATATCCGATGGGATCAACTCGGCCGAGCCTGTGCCACTGTATGGAGGGGGGTCAGAAAAGGGTCAAGAGGAAAATGTTGCATGTTGCACTACTAAAAGATGCATTAGGAGATTCTACATTGCCGTGGCTTACCTTCCGTCAATAATTAGATCATTCCAACCCACAGAGTCACAGTAGGAAGTAATGCTCCGGATACGTCGATGAAGGTTCTTCAAAGATAATTCAAATTCTAGTAATATAGTACTGGATACATTACGGGAATTATTTCCGGACCTTTCAAGTAACTTTTTTTTTCAGGACATGTCTCAAAAGACTCTATCAGATAGTGCTACAGTATATGTTTTACTCAAAGGATAACCCTACTCTCATCTAGAATTCAAGGTTCAAAAATCCATACACAGTTACACAGATCCTTGCCATTACTCAGTTGTACTTATCTATATCTAAATGTTTCAACCGTTATCTATAATGTTACGGTATATGTTATCGTTGGTTCATTATCATGTTCATAAGACAATCCAACTACAGGATAAATTGCGGAGATTATTTCCAGACGTTTCGAGTGATTTCCGTCAGTCTAGAATAGAGGCATATTACAGCAAAACGCCGCTCTCCACACATGCAAAGGCATAATTCTTCCCACCATTCGCCTCCTCTAATTAGAAAGCAATGCGAACTGTTATGGCATTTCGAAAGAATAAAAAAAGACAAATAGCTTCATTGTGACGCTTAAACCTATAATGCCTGGACGGATTGCTCGTTTCCTTTGACTGTTCTCTCATCGCAACAGTAGAACGAATCAACCATATTACACCAAATTACCCGTCGCTACGAATGTGTCGAAATTCATCATAGAATTTTCCGCCAGGGTAGGGACCAGTAAATGATCTTTCCAACGGAATCTACGGTGAAACCATGAAAACAGGCACTTCGAAACACATTTACCTATTCATAAACCGCAAGTCTTTATTCCCACTGCAAAGCTGGAGTTGTCAGGCTTCTTCGGATACAAAAAGTGGAAGGTCAAATCCGGCATTTTGAAGAGTTACAGCCGAAATATTGAAATGACACCTAGGGTTTCACCCCCAGTCCAAGTGGGCCAGTCCAGCCAGTGAATAAGTATTTAGGGGTCAATAATGGGGCAAACCATGGCAAAGGTGACGCATTTTGGGCAGATTTTTGAAAACATACATTCTTATGTCCTTATTACCAGAACACAAGGCCTTTCTGAGCAAAACTCACCAAGGAAAATCGTTGTGTCCTTTCTGCGCATGCCGATTAACAAGTCCCTCCCTGCCAACGGCTCGTACGCGTTGGATTGCGCTTGCGCAGAAAGCTCCTTTTCTGGCAGATCTTCTCGCCAATGAGATTGTCCCCGGGCTTATTAAGGTGTACCCAGGGACAGTCAATGGCCTTGAAAAAGTAGAAATCATCTTTTGATGGAATGGTACGGAATGCATCGACTTTACGGAAACTATACATTCTGTAGCGAACACCGTGGTGCGACTATTTTCAACACAAAAATGAACTAGACAGTAAACTTGCTCAGATTTGTGAAGGAAATTTCAAGACTTGATCATATATGACGGAAAAAGAAACAGATGCCTGAGGTAAATAGTCCCCAAAACAGGTTACTTCAGGCATAGTACATGTCAATATCAGACAGATTTCCTCATCCAGAATATTGTTTTTTGTTTTTCTACCCTAAAATGGCATCGGATGCCTTTAAATCACCACCCGTTTCTACGGACATTGTCGTCTCAGCGCTTTCTCCCAGCTTTAGCTAGTAACACGAGGCGGATGACAAGTTTGAGGCCCTGGGACGAATGAGTCATTTACCGGTACCTCCAGGCGTAATCAAGATTTTCAATTACCTCAGGCGTTATGGATAGGATTCCGACTCCGTCATTTGGCATGGCGCAAAGCATATCGAACATAATCACGGTCAAAAATGAAACGGAATGCCTGAGCACGTGAACGAAGGCAGGGAACGTTGTGTGATGTATTATCTAGTGGCGAGCTCTCTTTCATCGTTCGATGGCCCTAAAGATGAATCATTACTCAATTTTCCGTTGAAAGGGCAGTGCTGCTATTTCAACCGCCAAAGCTTTTTGTTAAATGCTGCGGCACACTTTGGGGATCTGGAGCTACTACCAGGGGTTGTCAAGTTAACAAAGAAAGAGCTTTCCAACTTGGAAACAGACCATCAATATTCCTGAAGAAAACACTCATGTTCACTACAGCAAAGTTACGAGCGGTGAATCATCAGAAGTTTTATCTATCCTTTCGTCACACATTAAACACTGGGAGTATAATAAGCGCCGTGAGAGAGTTTCTTTTTCTCGGGAAACGTCAATTATTCTGGTAACCAGGCAACACAAGCTCTTATCAATACGCTAGTCGTGAATTAGTATGGGCGGGGGAAGGGTACGTAGCTTGGCTGTTTTTCGTCCTCCCGTCTGTGTGATAAGAAGAGACCTTGTCCTAAATTATCTGCGCAAACATGTAGACACCATGTCTCAGGCTGTACTTAACACGGTAACTCGCCCTGAGAGCCACGTCAGGTGAAGAGATTTGATTAGAACGGCTTTGTAAGGACGACTCCAAATGTGTTCATTGGAAAGGGATGGCTATGTTGTTACATTTTCTCTAATGTGTTTTTGGGAGGATTGCTTAAAGGCGAATTATAAGTTACCTAAATATGTGTTCATCTTTAGGTCTCATTTACGAATATCTTTAAGCATGCTTAAAAATCTGCTTTCTTGCAGTGAAGGGATTGCATCTTATTTACGTATGTATTAAATATAAAACGTGCTTAAATATCTGCTTTCATTATGTGAGAAGATTGCAATCACAGCATTGAATTTCATCTCAAATAAGAAGTTGTTAAAGATTGAACAGAATTTGTGCTCCTTTCTTTGTGCCCCTCTTCGGAACTGTTCAATCAGGATCTCACTTACAACTTTTGCCGTCCAAACCTCGCGGGACCTTCTTTGCGGCTGAGGGAAGAATATTTCATTAAAAGTAGAAAAAAGGCAGTACGTTTTGGCAATTCCCATGTGCAAATTGGCTTGATTGAAGTAGTTGAAACCAAAGTAAAGCCGCCCGTCCCATGAGCCTTCGGATCGTGACCACCATTGGAAACGTACGTCTTCTGGTAAATATCCGCCGAGTTGCTTTGACCGAGATGTGCGTCTTTGATAATTGAACAAGAGCGGCACTAAAAATGTAGGTGGTTTCTGTCGCTATATGCCTATGCATAATTAAAGCATCCAATGCAATTTAAGGGCGGCAAAACAAAGTATTTTGTATATCCTTCTATACGCACACCTTAAAGCTTGCGTAAAGGTTCCGTTTCGTCCTTTGCGAGTACCTTTACACATGTCTTAAGCCATGCTTAGAGGTAGGATTTCGTGCACCGAAACCTCCTTCTGCTTTTCACACTATTGCATCAATCATCTTCTAGAAGTATAGTACCAAAATTAATCGTCTTTAGTGCTGAAGCTTATTTTTTTGGCACTGAAAGCTTGTTAGACCTACTATACTATGGCGATTGCATATATCATTTTACACTAAATACATATCGGTTATATAATGGCGACAAATTTATCAGCCGTCAAATCTCGGTTTCCAGCATCCATTTTTGATGCCATGCGATACAATTCTTGGCTCCAAACAATTATCTTGATTGATTTCATGATAAAAGTGTCACACTAAGCCGTCAAACCATCTCCTATGTTTCTCTCGTGTGTCGGTTATTATGGCATTGTGCGGTTTCATCTGGGGGGAATTAATATTCATATCGAATGGAACGCGACAATGTCATATATGATAGCATATTTATGTCTCAAAGGTCGCTGGAAATTCCCAATCCCTTTGTCACATGGAATCAGCTGTGCGTGGTATCGGAAAACCGGCTTTTGTGATCAGCCGAGTGAATGTAGTTCATGGTGAATGGCAAAAGCGATGAGGCTCTCTAAAGGGAATTAGCATTGGAGTGACGACTGCAAGTATATAACACCCTCACAAACACGTTGACTATGATTATGACTATGGTCAAATCAGACGACGGTCTCCATAACGTTGTCGGCTAGAACCATAATCAGTAATGATTTAGTTAACGTTTTTCACCATCTAAACTGTTCTATCGTCTGTAAATTATGGGTACGGAAGGTATTGCAGTGACCAATGCAACTATATAACACCTTCATCAACATCACGTTGACTATAATCTGGTCAAATCACGGGACGATTTTCATAACGTTGCCGGCAAGAATCAACATCGGTAATGATTTAGTATAACTTAATTAATTTTTTCTCTCTTTGAACTGTTTTGTGTTAGTGCCAAACAGTGCTATTCTTTAGCACGATAACTCAAGAAGGTTTAAATGAATTGTTATGAAACTTGGTATGTAGCTAGGTCTTTGTAAGACCTGAAAATGATTAGATCTCGCGATCAGGACATGCTAGGGCCATGAATTCTGTTAGATGGTAAGTAGCTCTTGTGTTTGGAAGTCATTTGAGCTTGGGCCCCCTAGCAGCTTGTTCTGGAACTGCAGGACGGTTTGTTTCAAAATTGAAACAAGCAAACAAACAAATATTTACATACCTGATCTAGTGACGACAGTTGATGACGTTGAGTCAGTGTGACGCAGACTCCGTAACTCCATGGACTGCTTGTAGCTGGGGTGGTAGCTGTAGATGGGCGGGCTGATGGCGACTAGCTTCGGGTTGTCCCGCATACTCCGGCCGTTCCCCCGGCACGCCAGCGCGATGAGGATGCACAGAAACACCACAGCTGCCCCGGCCAGAGTGCCGAGTAGTGCCGTCTCCCACCTAGATTTGATCAGCGGGGTCGTTATACCTGCAAAAGATCAGAAAAGATCAGAAAAATGTCACTGAAGTTTTTTTGTACTTTCAAACAGTCTTATGACTTCCTTAAAGACATTCAATGCAATTTTAGAGCGGCAAAACTGAATTTTTAAAGTCAATTTTCTCATGGTCATTCTTTTAATGACGTAAGTTGTATCAACCCTATTCCAAAGCATGCCCTGTGAGGCAAACGTATTTGATGTCGCTGACAGAATATGGCTGTTTATTGGTGGTGTCAAAATTAAAAGGACATCTCGTGTAATTTGTTTGGGGGTATTTCAAACGCTAGAATTATCAGTAAATGTCAATGTCAGACAGATTTCATCATGTCGAATTTGTTTTGCCACTCAAAAATTGCATTGGATGCATTGGATGCCATATGGTCCACCCCAACAAACTGCAGCTAAGTTTATTTTTATTCACACACAGGTTCATGGTGACCAGCCCCTCCAGCACTGCCCTGCTACATAATGTAACCCAACATCACAGCCAGCTACAGCAACAGTTTCCATGGTGACAGACAACTGGTAAGGTTATTGACCTTATTTGTTTAAAACGGAAGGAGACGAAGGAAAAGAGCAAACATAATCACGTTAGACGTTGACACAGCAAATGTTCTCCGCCGCCCGTGGTATAATTTGATATCAATATTAGCGCAGCACAAGAAGGAACCTTGAAGCTAGAACGAGAAGACATGAAATATTTCCCACGTGCCTCTAATTAGGCGCCTTGTCAAACAGAATCTAGCTGAAATATTGCCCAATTTGCGTCTGTTCTATGCTATCATCAGACGGCAGAATCCCAGGGGAAATCGCTCTTGAGCGGTTTTGACCACCTCCTTCATGGTTGATAGCTACCGTCTCGCTTGTATCTCTCATGTTTTCTTCATTGGAGGAAGATCCAGTAATTCTCCTAGGATATAAGGTACGCTGGAAGCAAACAAAATCAATCCGCTAACAGCTTGGTAGGAACTGATAGCTGATACGGGTGGCGGAGTGATCTAAGCAGCCGTTTTGAAAAAAAAAAACATCGCTAAGGATCATGGGTAACCGCATCACCTACGAATTGAATTTTTGCCGATATCCCTGCAAGGGGGGGGTGCTATTCAAGATAAACTATTAAGAAGGTTAAACTGTTGAGAAGTACAATGTATTCGCAAGTACACTGGTGAAGACTAAGACTAAATGCTAGTTAAGAAAAGGACTACGTACTAGTGAGTGATAGCTGAAATTAAACGGCTTGATTGGCGGAGTGATCTAAATAGATACTTTGAAACAAATATAATCGCTAAGACTCCTGGGTAACCGCATCGCCTAAAAATTGGATTTTCAAAATATCCGTGCGAGGGGGGCTTTTCCAGATAGCCTTATACTGTTGAGAAGCTGGCGGAGTGATCTAGAAAGAGACTTTGAAAAAATATAATCGCTAAGACTCCTGGGTAACCGCATCACCTACAAATTGAATTTTCAAAATATTTCTGAGAGGGAGGTGGGCTTATACTTTTGACAAGGGCAATGCATTCACAATTAGCTGAGAAAGACGAAGTCTTTGGCTGCTTGTCCTCCCGTTAAATCCAAACTTGGAAACCCAATCCGCGGAACTCCAGGCAACACATTCAATCATCCTCAATCCTGTTCCTGGTGTATTTTTTGGGGGCCCTCTCCTCTGACCCGTACGGCGCGCCTAATCACAAAAAAGCGCCTTAAGCCGGAGAGAGGTTTGGAATCATACGTTCGGCGCGACTCCCGGAATGAATATGAGGCAATCGAGACCGTCAGGAGATCACGCTGTAAATTTTGCAAACACCAATCAATTTGTCACCTAAACGTTGACGTGGCGAGCCGTCTAGCATTCTGTACGCGATGTGATCAAGGGTATGGAATACTCCATAGTTTTCAGATTAAATAGGCATAATTGTGACATTTTTGCACAAAATGGAAAAATGTAAATGGAAAAATCTTCATGTAATGGTAATCAAGGAGGTTAAAAACAAACTCCTTGTTCTGATTTACTTATACTTTTCAATAATATGTTTACGGTTTTCTAAAATCTCTGGCATTCATGGTTTGCACTAAAACAGCCCACAGAAGGCGAGCTCAGTTTGTGGTGCCACCACAATCTACCAGAGTGTAAACAAACATGGCTGACAGCTGTGTTTCCGGCTTTTAAGCACAGTCGTATTTTGGCACCTCCACTTCCTGAACGACACTTCGACTTGCAACTTTGTAAAGAAATGACCAGAAAATGGATCTTTTGTTTTGTCCTAATGTTACACAATGCAGCTTTGAACAATGCCACGCGACGCACAACACATATCCCCGCCATTTTGTTTCATCAGTCTTCGGTGAAAAATCAGGTGTGTCATTCGCAATCGTGCATGTATCTACCGCTATTTTTCCACGGCCCTGGCAGAATTATTGGCAACATAAATTTCAACGCCATAGCTATAGCCTAATCGTTATAACATTTCGTTACGAACATAGAAAAATGTGAAATGAATGTGATTTATGTTTATATTTTCACACTTTCCACACCAGGGATTTTTAATCATCGTCTTATTATGTCCCATACGTTATTCTTACTTTCCAAACATCATATTTTCGTAAAATTTATTTATACTTTCACATATTTTTCACCAAATCACATGATGTCACATTATATCGCATATTCTCTTTTTTATGGGTGAAATGCACATTTATGACCCTATGAGAAGCCCACTTAAGTATTTTCCCCTAAAGCTCATAAGAAAGATGTCGTAAAAATATACACACATGCAGAAGCTAAGCTTACTAATCTTTGGCAGGACCTCCGCGCATCTGAGGCCTTGTGGAATAAATCCAGCTCCACTCGAGTTTGAAAGTGATACATTTTGCACGGTCTTATACTTCAGGTAGGTCTCCTGGCGGTGCCTGCAGTCACTCAGGAGCCATAATTAGGCGATGAGTCGTAATAATTGATGCCCTAATATGTATGGAGTAATATTTTCTCAAGAACGTAATACCCCGGAGTAATAAGGGTCTCAGATAAGTGGGAATAGGTAAATGCTAGCTGTCAGGAGTAAAAGCATGATAGGTATCTCTTTACGCCATTTATACGGGTTTATGGAAAGTGCAGGGTGCTAATGCGAGGGGGAGAGATGATGATACCGTGATTCATGTTATTTTCTTCATTTCTGATGAGATAGAAAGTACAGTACAAAGTATTGGGAGGTGGGCTGTCTGCGATGGTAGGTATAAAGGTAATGGGGGAGTCAAATGAAAGGCAGTGTGTTATTGTGAGGCGTTTCAAACAGTCGCAAGGGTTGGTACAGTAGAAGCCTGGTTTTTGATGCCAACTTCACTATAAAGCTTAATAAGACCATATGGAGGTCTGTTAATGAATGAAAACTATCTTGCACACAGTAAATTTTCTGAAATTCTGCCATCGACTTCCAGTGCCTATCTTACTAGAACTTTTCAGATACATCAAAACGGGCTTCGTAATAGATTAGTCTCTTTGCAACGAACAATTAGAATTTTGTTTTTCCTTCCTTCTTTCCTTCCTTCCTTAATTTCTTCCTTCCTTCCTTTCTTTCGTTTCCTTTTCTTTCATTCTTTTCTTTCTCTTTGCCTCCCACTCTTTCCGTCTGTCTCTAACTTTTTCAAGTTATGTAATAGATGACAGAAATCACCATCAACCGTATGATTAATATATATCATGACTCGTCCCTAAATTGGTTCTATAATTTGTACTTCAAACGTCAGGAAGGATAGCTGCAGTTTAATCAATAAAGGGAGCGATCCGCTGAACTTTGGAATTATGAATGATAGGACAGAGCAATGCATTCAATTTAATACTCCGACATAGTTTTCCAAATGGTGGCTCCGGCGCTTTATTCTAATAGTGAGGGTCAGGACACCGGGAAGTTCCCCGCCTCTCCAAATGTCGTTCTTACGTTCTCTGGAGACCGGGTAGGCAGACAGGTCAGCAGTTGTGTGGGACGAATAGGATATAGAATATGATGGCTAGACAGACTAAAAAATTAGGTTAGGTAGGGATGGTATTCTCTCTCTTTCATTTCTTGTTATTTGTTTTAGATTTTGGGTGAAGTAGTCCAGAAATACAGTTTAACAATATGAAGAAAGAGTCATCAGTTGTGTGGGACGAATAGGGCATAGAATGCGATGACTAGACAGCCAGTGGACATGATTCTGCATTTTTTGAATTGGCAACAACGGTTACGTTTGGTCTGTGTTTCAGATTTCAGTCCTGAAAATTAGAGCCAGTAGTTTCTGGGGAAAAATTGTGTTTTCCATTTGAGTCCCGAAGATTAGGAATGGAATCTATCAGTTTTTTAAATAGAATATTTCAGTTATTGGTGCAAAAATTATACATAACGCTGTTAATCAATCCTAACTACTAATTCCAGTTTGCCACAATCTTAGACACAATTCCTTCTTACCAGTATACTTTAAAATTCTTGCATTTACCACAAAGAAACATCTTTCAGGCGGCACCATCAAATTCAAAGCTACAACATACATTAACGTTTCGTGATAGATTTTGTTCATTACAGTACGTTAAACAGCCCCTCAGTAACTGTATACATGTACTAATTGCCGATGCGGTATGTTGCACAGCTTTAACATGTATGTAAATGACAGGCATTGCAGTGGAGTCAGCAGCCATCTCTGGCAGTTATCCAAGGACATTTGTTTCCGTCTTTGCTTTAGTTACCTCCATGAAAGATGAAGGTATTGTTTTTGATGGCTTTCTGTCTTTCTCTGTCTGCCTGTTTTCAAAGTCTTTTTTTTCGTTACATGACCTCCTTGATAGCTGGTGTTGTTTCCCTTATACGATCATCATCATCAGTTCAAATGAGATTGCAAACGTGTTACGTTGGATCACTATTTGTCTAGGCAATGGAACTTTTCACATCCTCCTAAAAGTCGTAATTCAACCAAATTCAGTATAGATCCAAAGAACTTTTGGATTGAAAATTGATGTAACACTAGAAGCTACCGTGCTTTTGATATTTGATTAGCACAGCTTGTTCTAATTAAACCATATGAGTTTTGATTGGAGTAGCAGTAAAAACATCTTGTTACTAAATTCCCACTCATATCCTCATCAAATCTCTTTTCTGGTGCACATCTGTAAATACGTGTAAAGTTATTCTGAAATGACAGATGTTTGTCGTTTTTGCATGGTTTGAATCTGTTTAGTAACACTGGGGTTATCTTACCATAGGTTCCATAATCATGAACGCACTTAGATTGTAAATATCGGGGAGGCAAATCAGGATAGGGCATCTATCAACCGCTAACATATGGTAACTATCGTACCACCTCTGACCCACGGAAATAACTTGAAATGTTGGCATGACAACGGTATGGCTGTACTAAATGTATTGATTATTAATTGAAGACATAAAAAAGGAGATGCGCGGTAAAAAAAAGAAAAAATATATAGGATATACTAAATAAAGCAATTAAATTGTGATTATACAACATGTATGTTGTTGACGGCATGCAAAGAAGTAATTTTTGTTTTGTGTATTATCATCTTATTTGGGCCTATGTGCAGGGATACAGGATTGAAAACAATGGATAATGATAGAAGATGACTTAGATAGAATATGATGTAAAAAAGTAATTATTTTACAGGATTTTCTAAATTTTCTTGGAGGTGAGCATACTTATATATCTCATCACTGAAAATAAATGAATTTAAAAACATAATACGCCTGACTTATTAGAAATGCCTTTTTAAAGAAAATCTTTGGGACGACATTTCTCGTTACGTGAACACAATATCGTCCTTGAAATCCTCCAAATGTAACAAAGAAACTACTGAAGCATAAAATTCCTCTACATTCAGTAGCAGAAATCGGTTATGCTGAACGGAACCTTATGTGAGAAACGCTTGTATTGGGGGTATAAATTGGTATGTGAATTACAAGAAACAGAATGTAGCTTTGACGTATCCTGTAAAATTGTTACCCGCCTTAATTCCTAGCAACTTGAATCCAGAAAACCACCGTGGTTACAAATAAGACTTAAGAATAGACACTGCATAAAATCTTGCAATGGAAACGCATTGTAGAAAACCTAAGCTGGTAGAAACTTACGGCTGATTTGTTCTTATGTAATTCGCCATCCACCGTGAAGGGCAACGCCCTAAAATTATCGCATGCCACATTTAGGCCTCTCTCACACATTCAGAACCTTCCCCCCGAACACCAGGCGGCAAAGGTTGGCTGAAGTTCTAGCGCAGATTTAGGCGTTTATCGTTTATTGGATTTGAGTTAAATTTAAGTCAAATTTGACATCCAATCACACCATTTATACATACTCCCGAACACCAGCCGACCACAAGCCAGCCTCCTGCCAAAGCCTGAACGTTTTAAACATTTTGAAACATTCGGTTGGCACAGATCCACTGTAGACGACCTGGTCAAACCCCAGCCGACCTTTCGTCCGACCTACTCCTGCCCATTGTTGGCGGAGTTCAGCTACAGTGTTCGATCGTGAGGTTGAATTCGTGAATGTGTGACATGAGGCTTTACAGTTTTTGGTATGTCACATTTAACGTTTTGTCCTTTAGGAAGACATGAAAGCACAATTGAAAACCGTAATGTCCCTAGGCCTTAATAAGATTCAGTTGAATGTGCACTGAATAAAGTTCTATATTTAAGCACACTTGAAAGTATGTGTAAAGGCCACATTACTTTAGTTAACTAGAAAAATTGAACCTTTACGCATACTTTAAGATGTGCAGTGGTGCATACACACATCCATATTCAACGTCAAATATCCCGTGGGATTTCCTTGTTGTGACTGGGTATTCTTTTAACCTACTAACAATCCTTCGATAAACAGTAACTGTTCTTATCAGGTTGCCGTGACACTTCTGTGAACGTGTCTCTAGAAGTTTTACCATTTTGACAATTAGCGGAAACTACGCGAGAACGCCATTCGTAAAGTGCCGGAGATCCAGACGATAAAACATCCGTCCACGGTGAGAAACTGCGACATCAAGTCGCTGGCCGGCGGAATAAATGGCTGTTGGCACAAATCTTCCAGGATCAATTGTCTGTGTCTCCATAAATTTACGACTGCGCGACCCGAATTGCCGCTCTCGCGACGCGTTTCGCCATCTGGGTTCTAATATCAAAGAGAAAAAAGGGGAGAAGTGGATCCCTGTGATTTATGAAAACCTTGGAGAGGTAGTGAAGAGGAGATAACAAATTACATCAATTTTGGTCGCCTTAAAAAGGCCGCCATAAACGAAGGGCTGTAGGGGACTATAGGGTCTCTTGATGAACGTCCACGCTCCATCTGCTGTGCTGGTACTCTTAGGTTTGCTAATGGAAGAAATAAACTGTCGTTAGAGGAACTCCTAAACCATAAAAGTTCAGGTATTTTTAGAAAGACGGATATACCTCTCCAACTCTGATTTTAGTTGCGTCATCAGTTTTCCCTGTGAAATTTAGATATTTTGTTAAATGCTTTGTAAAATTGATTTATATTATTTCATTTCACTATCACACCCCGATTTTGTGTTCAGTTTTGCTAGTTTTCCAAAATTTTGACTTTTATCTATTGGCAAGTTTCACTACATAAATCCTTACGTTGAATGCTTGAGTAAGACATGAGTTTGCATATTCCACCCTTTTTTAAACAAAAGATATAAATCGCTCAAGACTCCTTCTACCAGCTTGCTAGTTCGCTAGTCGATATTTTGCACATGATTTCCAAATCTTGACCGCCATCTACTACCTTCTCCTACTGCAGAAGTCTTGAGTAAGATACAAATTTGCATCTTTAACCTTTTTAACATAAGATAGAGATCCCTCAAGACTCGCTTTGTCAGCGTGACCGCAAGCAGTTATTTTTCAAATTTTCCAAATCTTGACTTCTATCTATTGCCTTGTTTTACCACAGAACTAATTGATCTTCAATCCTTCTTGGAGAGAGACTGGCCCGAAGATCGACTGATGAAGCGTGCGGCAGGCTGCCGATAAGAGACTAGCCTTCGGCTACACGACCTACCCAGCAGCCTCTCCATCAAAGCTTGACCTACATACAGCAAGTATTAATTCATTTTCTATCATTGTTATTTATTGAGACTCTTCATCATGATGATAGGTGCACAAAGCAATCTTTGACCACCCTTCGATCGCGTTCGCCTTTCAGAACAAAGAGCTGTTCTCCTCACTGCAAAGGTGTTATCAGACTCAGCAGCTGCACTTAAGAGTGATTGATCTGAATACGTAAAATAAAACAGACAACCTCTGAATATTAAGTGATAGGGATGTATATCATCTTGTTGTTAAAACCTCTGTCACACACAGCAGAGCATGGCCTCGCGAACTCGGGAGCAAAATCGGCTGTGGTTGTCTGATGTTCAACTAGGTCGGCTGGGACGGCTACTGTGTTCTAAATGTTTCAAACTGTTTAAAACATTCCGGAGTGGACGGGAGGTTCGGAAATGGTTGGCTGGTGTTCGGGGGTAGGTCAGTAGTTGGCAGTCAAATTTGACTTAAATTCGAAAGGTGGAAAGATAGGCGTGGCTTAAATCTGGTAGAACTGGTCACAAACGTCAGCCAACGTTGCGCACAACTACATGTAGGCTAGTGGCTCTCCAGAGTCCTAAAACAAAACAAAACAAAACAGATAAAGAAAACAGATAAAGAAAGATTCTTGTTACCTACCGGAGTTATGTGACGAGTCCCGCACAACCAGGCTGATGGTTCTCCAGTCTTGCTTCCCGATGCCATTGGCAGCCGAACACGCATACTTCCCGCTATCGTTCCTGTGGATCTCGTTGAAGATGATGTTGTTTCTGGTACTGTCCGATGGCTCCAGTGTAGCAGTCGGTTCGTTCTGCCAGCCGAGTTTGTACCAGGTGACGTTAGGAGGGGGATTCCCGTCTGCTACACACCACAGGGTCACCTTGGTCAGTACAGGTGCCACCACCAGGTCTGAAGCGTTGACAATGGTGGCAGGATCTAAGGGAAAACATGACAAAGTAGTTACTTTTTTACTTCATGATTCACCACAAAACAAGCCTCATAAGAGCCATTCAAATGTTCTTCTTACATTTAAACTTTGAAACTGTTAGTAAACTTTGAAACTAATATAAAACAAAGATATCTAGTCGCAAACTGTAGGTCATTTAGATAAAAGCTACTTTGTTGTTTATTTTCGTTGATTCTCTGATAATGCGTTCTTTCTAACATAGCATATTTCCTGGTGTCAAATTTGCCAGTATTAAACACACATTATTTAGGTTGCATACGTAGCCTTTTAGAATCTTAAAATGGATACTGTTGAGCGCAGCCAGGTGTGTATGTTTCCTTGTTATCTTGTCAATGTGTGAAGTATCGCTTCATCAGTCACGACCTTGTTGTACCGACTCCGGCACCATCGACCCCTCCGCAAATTTATTAACGAGTTCATTCATCAGGGGTTCCTAACGAGCAATACTGTATCAATCAGGGCGCGTGAACGGCAATGTCCTGTAGGCGTTAACAACATCACTGATTAAACACCAGAGTACGCAAAACACTCCGCATCCAGGCAACCATCCATCAAATTAAGCCTCAAATCTCATCCGGAGGACTGACTGACGTATTCCAACTTCAGCAGATTGTCTGGAAGCATTTCGACCTCAGGGCTCGAAATACTGGGTAGAAGAAAAGGCAGTAAATGTCAATATCAGTTTTCCTCATCCAGAATATTTTCGCTTTGCCTTACTGAAATTGCATGGGTTACCTATAAGAAAGCAGTCAGGGCGTGTCTGTTGAATGTTAGAGTAATGCAGGCTTGCAGAGAAAAGTAATTCGTGCCCTGGACTTAAAAAGCAGTACAGGTAAAATTTGTCTGGTGCAGGTAACATATTGTTTTTGCTCAGTTTCTTCTTCTTTTCCAAACGGTGACCTCTGACCTGGCCAATGATCTGATTTGTTGATGTCTATTACCATGGTAACTGGTGCATGGATTGCATAATGTTGCAATTTTATATTAGAAGGGATTTAGACTTCTGTCACCATATATTTGAATGTGTTTTGAGTAAGAACTAGAATTCCGAGATCTCATACCTCCATGAAATATGATCTTGATATGTAAATGTAAATTTCTTCTTTAATTGTTCAAATGACCTCTGCATTAACATGATATATGCATCGTGATGTATGTTAACTTTTGATTAACTTACAGATGTCCCAAGTATGGCATTCTCATCATTCACCATTACGAAATCATAGAATTTTCACATTAATTATGCAAATTAGGTCATCACCTTCCATCAAAATATCATGACCTTCCGCCTGCCATAGGCTACATAGTATAATGTAAAACACTGTAATTATAGAATTTCCTCATTAATTATGCAAATAAAGTCCTCATTTGCATAATTTACATTTAATTATGTACATCTCTCTCTCAGCTACCTACACACCAAAAATAATGAAAATATGTTGTTCCTGTCTGGACTTATTGGCTTTTAAACATTTCGCCAGAAAGTGCCCTGCAGTTCCAGAACAAGCCGCTAGGGGGCCCAAACTCATATGACTTCTTTCCAAGCACGAGAGCTACCTTCCATCAAAATTTCATGACCCTAGCATGTCCAGATCGCGAGATATCAAAACCGGAAGTTGCGCTGCAGTACCAAGGGAAGCCACTAGGGGGACCAAAATCTCATCATTTCTAGTTTTTGTCACACCCTACCAACACACCAAGTATGAAACCAATCCATCCAGGCGTTCTTGAGTTATCTTGTTGACCAACAGACAGACGGAAGGACGGAAGGACGGACGGACGGACGGACGGACAGATAAACGCAACTGAAAATATAACCTCCATGACACATTTCATGGAGGTAATTAACAGAGAAGATAGTATGCGAAGGATAACATTATGCATTTGCTTTGCAAATGTTACTTTTCTAGTTTTGATTGATACAGCTGCAGTGTAGGTATGCAGAGAAACGTATTTCGAGCCCTGGACCCGATTCTTGCAATTTGTAGCCAGATAATGGCACCGCGTGATGCACGCCACCCTGTGGAGAGGTATATTCAGTTCGAATAAGGGTTCAGATGCATCACTGTAAACATATCCTCCGGGTTCCAACAATGTTTCCCAGTCATGCATCATCTTGTAGCCATTAGTTGGAGAAATCGTAGCTTGAGGAGCTAATACACTCAGCTTTTATTACCAGGTCATGAACATAGAATTGCCACAACCTCTTTTAGGGATGACGAATAACATGTCCACAGGGATGCTTAGTTGAAAGTGTTATTTTTTTGTTCCTGTGCGCCTTTGTAATAATGTGAACTTTATTTCAGTCATATATAAAAAAATGCAAATTATGGCTACTCTAATAAAGATTATACATGTATGTAGTGTAGACTTATTCTATACAAGATTTGTGCGCGACTATATGTACGCTAAAAATCTGGCAAAACTCTGAAAAGCTTAGAATTTTCAAATGCATACAAGAAATGGCAGTAAATGTTAATATCAGACAGTTTTCCTGATCCAGAATATTTTCGTTTTGCCACCTTTGTTTTGTTTTGAAATTGCATGGGTTCCCTTAAAAACGTCAGGGCGTTTTCCATATGCGTATAGCTAAGGTAAGACAGAAATAGTGACGTTTCTGTCTTTATTGCTGATAGTTTTCCTTGACAATCATATCCTTTTGATTTCCCCTGATACACAAGGCAGAAAACTGAAGGCCTCTCACAGTTTGATATTAGAACCACATAAGCTATAACGATACTGTCCCCCATGAAAATGGGGGTAATGTTTTTGGCATGTGTATATGTGTGTACGCGTGTGTTTCCGCATGGTCGGATAGGTTGTATGGTTAGTTTTAGTCTTCCTCACAGTGAAAAAGTCTTAATCACGTCTACGTCTGGTAGCTCTCGCTGTTTTTAGATGTTTTTCATTACGTGACCTCTTTTACAGCTGACGGCTGCTGTTTTTGCCTTGCACGATAAAGATGGAAATTGCAAAAGGAGATTGCAAACGGGTTATGTTGCATTAATCTTGGCAAATGGAACTCATTGTTCATCAGAGATTATAACCCCTCCTAGATAGTCATAATTTCTTAACACCATGGTTTTGTGGAGGTATGAGATCTCCGAACTCTTGTTGAATTTGTGTATCTAGATACTGTTAGTATTTGAGGTAAATTACTTTGCATCAATTGGCTTATTCCCATCGTAGCCACAGCTTCTAGGTCAACATACATTGGCCATGTATTGATCCAAGCACCGCTGCCAAACGATTTCTACAGAAATCAAGGACAGACCGGTAGATGCTTGGATCGTAAGCTGATTTTCAGATAAACATCAGAAGCTTCTTGCAATAACTAAGAGGCAGGACTCCATTTGGCCAAAGCCCAAGTGGGTGCCGATTATAGTGCTTGATAAATTAAGCTTGCTGACCGTAAGTATGGGACGTAACGACCCAACGGTAAAGTCCCGCATGCCTTTACGTAAGCTTGAAGGAGTGGTGAAGGT